GCAACAGAGCGAAACTCCGTCTCAAAAAAAAAAAAAAAAGATAGATAATATATTATACCTTGGGTAACTACTGAATGCATGCAAAAAATGTGTATAAAGAAATACTTAACCCAAGTCAGAAGCCTGGAGTTTATTCTTCCAAATCGTTTTCTCTGCTCGGACACACAAGTATTGCCTTCCATTGGTTAATAATGTGAGTTTTTACAAAACCAGCAATAAAGAACTTTTTCTCATGTCTCTGGAGGCCTCCCTCCAGAAGTCTGGGTTCAGGTCTATCTCATTTTAAGAGTTAATTTTTGAATGCTCTTGTAGGACTTAAAATTCAAATAGCACAAAAGAGTTTAAATAAAAAGTTTTCCCATACCCTTTTTTCCAACCCTTCCTCTTCCCTCCCCTAAATAATTGGGAGTCCCTGTGGACAGAATTTCTACATTCACAAAGATATATACAGGGAAACGTTTTCCCTGTGAATGGGAGAGTATTTTTATTTATCAGCGTACCCTGGAGACTGTTCTGTGTCAGTACAGAGCATGCTTCGTGGTTTGATTTTAGAGCTGTGTAAGTTTCTTTGTGCGGCTGTAGTGTTGTTTATGTAATGAGTCTCCTACCGACGGGCTCTCAGAATGCTTGCAGTCCTTTGCTATTGCAAACAGAACTGTAAGGAGGTAGCCTTGAACAGTCATTCTGCGCAGGATGGGTAGGAATTCCTGCAAGTGGAATTATTGGATCAAAGGACATGTGTGGGTTGGGCGTGGTGGCTCACGCCTGTAATCCTAGCACTTTGGGAGGCTGAGGTGGGTGGATCACCTGAGGTCATGAGTTCAAGACCAGTCTGGCCAATGTGGTGAAACTCTGTTTCTACTACATATATAAAAATTAGCTGCTGGTGGTGCGTGCCTGTAATTCCAGCTACTCAGGAGGCTGAGGCGAGAGAATTGCTTGAACTAAGGAGGTGGAGTTTGCAGTGAGCCGAGATTACGCCACTGCACTCCACGCTGGGTGAAAGAGTGAAACGGCATTCAAAACAAAAGAAAACAACAACAACAAAAAAAACAAAGGGTGTATGCAATTCAGGTGTCCATGGATGCAATCAAAACGCCCTCTACTGAATAGGTGCCAAAGTGCGCCACCTCCCCAACCCCGAGCAAGATGCTAGAGCCGCCTGCTTGACCATCTTCACTGACGAGGTGGACAGATGGGTGCCAAACTGGATCTCACCGTGGCAGAACCAGTTTTTAAAATGCAGAGTCGGCTGGGCTTAGGCTGGGGGTTCGTAGGGGATTCTGCCCTCTCTTCCTTGTGTCAGCGCCTCTGAGATGTGTCCTCTGTCCCGGTCTGTGTCTCCACAGAGCAAGCTGGTGAAGTACTTCAGCCGGCAGCTGTCCTGCAAAAAGAAGGTGGCCTTGCAGGAGCGCAACGCTGAGCTGGACGGCTTCCCCCAGCTGCGGCACTGGTTCCGGATCGTCGACGTGCGCAAGGAAGTCTTGGAGGTGACCTGGGGGCCCTGTGTTCCCTTGCCCCTTACTGGCCAGCAGCTGCCCCCTGGATTGCTCTTGGGACACAGGTTTCTGGCTGTGCTCAGCACAGTCTCTAGCACAGAGCAGCCTCTCAATCAATATGTGCTGGATGAAAGCATTCAGGGTCACTGGTGCTGTCTGAATAGGGCCATCGAGAGTGTGCTTCCAGAGTCAGCCAGAACCCTTCAGCTCTGCCACATATTAACAGAGTCATCTTGGCCAAATCACTTCACCTCTTAGTCCGGTGCTGTCCAGTGGAACGTTCTGCTACTATGGAAATATTTTCTTTTTTGAAATGGAGTCTCACTCCCGTCAAGCAGGCTGGAGCGCAGTGGTGCCATCTCAGCTCACTGCAACCTCCACCTCCTGGGTTCAAGAGATTCTCCTGCCTCAGCCTCCTGAGTAGTTGGGATTACAGACATGTGCCACCACGCCCAGCTCATTTTTGTATTTTTAGTAGAGACAGGGTTTTGCCATGTTGGCCAGGCTGGTCTCGAACTCCTGACCTCAGGTGATCTGCCCAACTTGGCCTCCCAAAGTGCTGGGATTATAGGCGTGAGCCACCGCACCTGGTCAAATGATGGAAATATTTTCTATCTGTGCTGTTGGATGTGGTAGCCACTTGTGGTGAGGACATGTGAGTCAGGAACTGAATTTTGAATTGTATTTAACATTAATTAATGGGGCCCATGGCTGCCATGTTGGAAAATACTGTCTTACAGCATTAATATTCTCATCTGTGAAATGTGCATGATGATTGTCCTCTCTTCTTAAATAACCAACATTATAGAATGAGATGATTTTTATAAAATGTCAACTCAGCTGGGCGCAGTGGCTCATGCCTGTAATCCCAGCACTTTGGGAGGCCAAAGCAGCCGATCGCTAGAACACAGGGGTTCAGGACCCACCTGGGCAACGTGGTAAAACTCCATCTCTACAAAAAATACAAAAATTAACCAGATGTGGTGGTACATCCCTGTGGTCCCAGCTACTTGGGAGGCTGAGGCAGGAGGATCACCTGAGCCCAGGAGGTTGTGGCTACAGTGAGCCATGATCATGCCACTGCACTCCAGCCTGGGTGACAGAGTGAGACCCTGTCTCAAAAGAAAGAAAGAAAAAAGACTAGGCACAGTGACTAATGCCTGTAATCCTGGCACTTTGGGAGGCTGAAGTGGTTGAATCACTTGAGGGTCAGAAGCTTGAGACCAGCCCAGCCAACATGGCGAAAACCTCATCTCTACTAAAAATAAAAAAATTAGCTGGATGTGGTGGTGCACGCCTGTAGTCCCAGCTACGTGGGAGGCTGAGGCAGAAGAATTGCTTGAACCTGGGAGGAGACATTGCAGTGAGCTGGGATCACGCCATTGCACTCCAGCTTGGGTGACAGAGCAAGACTCTGTCTCAAAAAAAAAAAAAAAAAAAAAGTTCAGCTCGTAGTCGGGCACCAAGTCGCACTCGGCAGATGCTAGCCTATTTCCGTTGTGAGCATCTGACGTCTCGTGTCCACCCTCAAAGATTGGACCACGTCCTTAACATCTTAAGGATAGTGAGATTTTCTTACCCCCTGGGATCCCAGAGACCGACCCCTATGCAGTGACAGGGCCAAGCCAAACCTAATAAATAAAACCAAACCTAACATATAAAACCAGCGGACATCACTGAATCTGTCAAGCTAGGCATTGCGCTAAGGGCTTTACACTTAGGATCTCAGCTGCTGAGACTGTTCAGCCCCCTCACAGTGACCTTTTGAGTAGCTGTGACTGTTATCCCCATTGTACAGAGTGGGAAACTGAGGCTCAGAGCTAAGTGACTTGTGTAGATGGAGTGGATGAGGCCAGCAGGATGTCCAGCTCAGATGGACAGCAAAGCCTTAGGTTGGAAGCACTGTGCCTTAGCCTCAGCCTTGTTTTCCTGTTGCTTGGGCCTCCCTGAG